GAGAGAGAGAGAGAGAGAGAAACATGAGTTCTGGGCTCAAACTCTCAATTGTCCTGCCTGTACTTCCTGAGTGCTAGGATTACAGGCATGCACCACCATACCCAACTGTATTTTCAAATTATTGCCCCAAATAAGTGAATCTTGAGTGGCTGGGACATGGAACCCTTGGCTGCCTATGTTCTGAGGGACTTTCTTAGTATGCTAGAATCTAAATTGTTCACTACGTGTACATCTTCCAAACCTGAGGGAAAATCTTTGTAAGGAGTTAAAGTCCTCATGGGGATGGGGTCTCCCATGGAAACACTTCAGTCCCTAACTGGTTCTTCTGACTGTCCCTCCTGAAAACATATTTTCTTCTAACCTCTGGCCCATGAACCACTTCTTTCCTTTAGGGACTTCCTCTCTACTCCATTTGGCCTTAGAAAGGAGACATTCTTCTCTGTACCAGTGTGCTCTACCAAAGTCTGAGTAGAAAGAAAAAAAATCCATAGTTTTAGAAACTTAAAAAACTCAAACTAAAAAAAATTAATTCTCCTTATTTAGAAACATGAACAAAACCAAAAATTATATATTTAGTGTATATATTATATATATGTGTGTCGATGAAATTATTCGATTCTTTTTTTCCTTCAGTTCTGGGAACATAAATCAAGGCCTTGGGCATGCTAGACAAGGGCTCTCCCACTAAGCAACATCTCCAGTCCTACTTTCGCACTTCCCATGTCTTAAGCATAACTTCAAAAGTCTGCATAATATTTCATGCAATGTCTTACTTTCCCCCTATTATCAGAGATTACAAATGAAACATCTTTTTCATAGTTTATTTCATAAGATTTTCTTAGAGTAGATTTCCAGAAGTGTGATAATTGGTTCATAGGACATGGATAATTTTAGGACTCTTATTTATTTATTTTTATTTTTAATGTATATGAGTATTCTGCCTGCATGTTTGTAAGTGCACCTGTGTTGTGCAATGCCTGAAGAGGCTAGAAGAAGGCAAAGGATCCCCTGGAACTGGAGTTACAGATGGTTAACCACCATGTGGGTGTTAGGAACTGAACCCGAGTTCTCTGCAAGAGTGGCCAGTACTCCTAAATGCTGAGGGATCTCTCCATCTCTCCAAGCCATCTCTCTAGGATCTCTAGTTTTAGGGGTCTTGATAAAAATGTAAAGTTAATGGAAATATTTGTTGTACCAATTCCCATTCCCAGAGAAGGTATGTCATGGCTCTCAGAGAGCCTGCAGTGTTCAGCAGGGAAGACAGACTTTAGACAAATACAAAGAATTATAGAATTTAAAGAAATGCAAATACCTAGGCACAAATGAATTTCTGGTTTAGTTTAAACTTCTTTTATATATATAAAAAAAATGTAGGGGTCTGGAGAGATTGCTCAGTGGTTAAAAGCACTGGCTGCTCTTGCAGAGGACCTGGGTTCAATTCCCAGCACCCACATGGCAGCTAAGAACTGTCCCTAACTCCAGTTCCAGGAGAATTTGACACCCTCTTCTGACCTCTGCAGACACTGCATGACATAGGTGCACTTACACACATTTAGACAATACACTCATACACATTAAAAAAAAACAAAAACCCAAAGACATTGTCCCCCAGGTGATTAGTTCCTCCAAGGGGCAGAGGAGGGACTACTGAGGGGCTGCTGGGAGCCATCTTGGGACAGAAGCCACTAGCCTTGAGGACTGCACATGGTAGCGGGTGTGGAGAGAGAGATGGCCCTGATGCCTCACCCACATGGTGACGAGAGGGGCCATTTACCCACCTGGGACGAGACTGTGGGCCCAAGATGCTGCGAAAGGTAAGGGAGACTATGGATGGGGCGGCGGGAGCATCTGGTGGCGGGCTCTGAGCCAGGGTGCAAGAGTGTTTGTCTCTGTGTAAGTTCCCCAATTTACCCCTTCCCTACCCAAGGGCATAAACCATAATAAACTCACATAAAAATATATTATATGGTTTGTCTGATCGTAAGAGACCCTGAGAGAACTCTGGTGACAGACACGTAGCTGGGCCTGGTGGCTAAGGCAGGAGAATCGTAAGTTCAAGGCCACCTCAGGGAACTTAGCTAGACATCATCTCAATCTGTGAGACATGAAGGAAAGGAACTGTAAAAACAAAAACAAAAACTGTTTTAAGCAAAAAAACATGTAAATAAACTTTTGATGTGTGTTAATATGTAACAACATGAATGTTAGATGAGAGAGCCAGAAATAATTGTATATAAAACGTGTATATGAGCATATATGAGTTATATATAAATGCTTTATATGTTATAGTTATAGATAAGTGATACATAATGTTTTGGGCTTTCTCATCCAAGTGTAAGAAACTTGTAAGCTCTGCACAGAGATGTCACTGAGGCAGGCTTGTGATCACATATTGCATGGGCATTCATTAGCTACTCCTCAACTCAGCTCTCCACTGGATATGGCGATAAAGGTGGGTGCCTGCCTTCAGAGAGCCAGAGTCCTGCAGGGAAGCTGGAGACAGAAAGACGGTCACTACACGGGATGAATAAGAGGATCGGGCAGGCCATTAGGAACCAAGGATAGCTCTTCTTGGGGAGCCCCACACAGTGTGACCCTTAAGTTAGGCAGGAAAATCAGTGAAGACGGGGGGGGGACCACAGAGAACCACCATTGCTTATTCAAAGAGCTGCAAGTGGGTCTGCTACTGTGCGAGGCTCTGGGGAGAAAGCAGCTCTCAGGATCAAAGAAGCAAAGAGGATACACATTTATCAAACACGTAGTGACCACGGAGAAAACCATTGTATGGAGCACCTGCTGGAGTCAGGCACTGTTCTAAGCACTTTGTGTAGATTACTGCACCTCACACAGACACCATGAGGTAGACTCCGTCATTATTCCAATTCACACATGGTAGAATGGAGGCACCTGAACCTCCTTGACCCAGATATGTATGTACTCTGAACCAGTGTGGGAAATACGCCAGGCCTGGTGGGTTCAAGTGAGTCCTTTTAGTGCAAATAGTATAGTCCAGGGCTATATTCCTGGACCAGGGGTGGGGTAGCTCAGTGGCAGAACATTTATCTAGGCTGTAGTTTTGGTACTGAGTATGGGATGGGGATTGGGGAGTGTCTGGGTTGTTGTCATTACTACTGGCTCAGTAATTTCTTATTACTTATTTCTTATTTCTAGGCTATTTCAGTGGACAGAATTAGATAGATTAGATGATAGATAGATAGATAGATGATAGAAACTATCCACAGTTTATTTTAAATGTTCTATTTTTATTTTTTATGTGTATGAGTGTATTGTCTGCATGTACATAAGTGTATCCATGTCGTGCAATGCCTGTAAAGATCAGAAGAGGGCGTTGGATCCCCTGGAACTGGAGTTTCCAGTTTTTAGCCGTCATGTGGGCACTGGGAACTGAACCTGGGTCCTCTGCAAAAGCAGCCAGTGCTCTTAACCATGGAGCCATCCCTCTAGCCCCATAATTTATTCATTTTAAGACAAAATTTCATATGGTCCAGGTTGGCCTTGAACTCTTGGTTTTCCTGTCCCCATTTCCTGGGTGCTGGGATTACAGGCATGTGCTACCATGCCCAGCTAATACATATATTTTTAAACAACAGCCATACTGAGGTATAATTAACATAAGAACATGCATACACTTAACATACATATATGGGGCATGTGAACATATCTAACACCCCTAAAAGTTTCTCTGGGTTGCTGTGTAGTTATGTCCACCCTCCCTCCCCGTCCTCCTCCATCCCATCCTCCTCCCTCCCCGTCCTCCTCTCTCCTCATCCTCCTCCCTCCCTGTCCTCCTCCCATCCCCATCCTCCTCCCTCCCCGGCCTCCTCCCATCCCCGGCCTTCCTTGTCTTCTCTTCTAGTCCTCAGGCAACTGTTCGAAATAGAAAATTCACCCTCAGTCTAAAGTCAGGACTGTGGGATTTTGGCCTCACCTCTTCCAGTCTAACATGGATTTCCCTTCTCCTGTGCTGAGTGTGCTGAGTTCTCAGTGATATAGGGACAGTGGAATTACCTGGTACACATTTGCTTCGCTATGGTGCTCCATGTGCTTTGGAAATGTCACTTTCCTCTGATTCCCTTCCTCATGAATTCTTCCCCATAATCTTTTTCTTGTTTTGAGATCTGTGTAGCTCTGAGTGACCTGGAACTCCTATACAGACCTCGCTATGCTGATCAGGCTGGCTTCAAATGATCCTTCTGCCTCTGCCTCTGCGGTCCCAGGATCATAGGCATGAGCCACCATACATGGCTCCTTTCCAATACTTTCTGGTTTGGGGACAAAGTCTTGTTATGTTTTATCATAATATGCTAATTATTATTATTATTATTATTATTATTAGGTGCATGAAAGAATTAGGAAATGTCTGAATGACTAAGGTAAATTAGTTCCTTTAAACCCTAACTTTGCCTTGTGGTAGGCATGAACTTTAATATTCTTTATACCATAGACTGAGAATGACTAGGTCTTTCTGTAGTTGCGGTATTATTTGTCATTGATGTTTTCATTTTACATTAAATCCCACCACACATGCAGGTGTCACCAATGAAGCCTTTCCTTGTTCCTGGGCAAGTTCATTCCGTTGAGGAAGAAGGTGAGAGTCTGAGGAGCGCCTCCTTCTTCTGTGTGACTCTTGACCTCCTGATGGTGTGTTCTCTGTAGATAATGAAAGGACACAGACACAGGTGAAAACTTCCCATGATCACAGTGTCAACAGGCTAGAATCAATCACCTGAGGTCAGAAAGTCAGATGTGACAGATGACACAGAGGGAGGACAGTTATACAAACAAGGAGAATCTGGGGGTAAACTATGGTAAGTACATAAGAAACAGCAGTGGGGCTGGAGAGATGGCTCAGTGGTTAAGAGCACTGACTGCTCTTGCAGAGGACCTGGGTTTGATTCCCAGCACCCACATGGCGGCTACCGTCCTTAACTCCAGTTCCAGGGGAATCCGAAGCCCTCTTCTGACCTCTGCAGCATTACACGACACAGGTGCACTCATACATGCAGGCAATATACTCATACACATAAAATAAAAATAATAAAAAATTAAAAATTAAAAAAAGAAACAGCAAGAAAAGCAAATTAAAATAGAGATGGAGAGATGGCTCAGTGGTTAAGAGCACTGACTGCTCTTAAAAATAGATAGAGCCGGGCTGGAGAGATGGCTCAGCAACACTGGCTGCTCTTGCAAAAGGACCTGGATTTGGTTCCCAGCACCCACAGTATAGTTAACATCTGTCCTTAACTCCAGTTCCAGAGGATCCAACAGCCTCTTCTGTCCTCCGTGGGTATTGCATGACATGGGTGCACTTACCTACATGCAGGCAATACACTCATACACATAAAATAAAAATAATAAAATATTTAAAAAATAGATAGAGATGGAGAGATGGCTCAGTGGTTCACCACACTCTTGCAGAGGACCCAGATTTGGTTTCCAGCAGCCAAATGGTGGCTAACAACCATCCATAACTCCAGTTCCAGGGCATCTGATGCCTTCTTCCAACATTCTGCTAGAAAGCACATATGTGGTTCACATATATACATACAGGCAAAACATTGATACACATTAAAAAAACAGTTAAATAGACAGGCTTAGTTCTCAGGATAACAAGTTTTCTAAGAAAAAAAATGAACACAGTCATAGCTCACCAACAATACTGTTGATGGAATCACAATTCTGTTAGAGACCCAGTGAAAATGAAAGATCAGGAAGTAGCCAGAGTGGCCTGGAATTTAGACATGCCAAGGAGAACAAAGTCAAAAATGTTGCTGGGAAATGGGGAAAGCATCCAGAGGAGACAGTTTCCTTTAACAAGCTATGGAGAACTATTCATTGCTTAATTTAAAAAAGCATTTCTAGCCAGGCATGGTGGTGCACGCCTTTAATCCCAGCACTTGGGAGGCAAAGGCAGGTGGATCTTTGTGAGTTCGAGGCCAGCCTGGTCTACGTAGTGAGTTCCAGGAAAGCTGGGGCTAAAGGGAGACCTTGTCTCAAAAAGACAAAATAAAATAAAATAAAAAGCATTTCTAGGGCAGAACATGGTGGCATATGCCTATAATCCCAATAGTCAGGTGGCTGAGGTAGGAGAATCTTGAATCTGAGACCAGCCTGGGCTACATAGTGAGATCCTTCTCAAATATGTTTGTTTGGCCTGCATGTAAGTGTACCACAGAGTACAATATGCACAGAAGCCAGAAGAGGGAGTCATATCCCCAGAACTGGAATTATCGACAGTTGTTAGCCACCATGTGGGTGCTGGCAACTGAACCCAGGTTCTCTGCAAGAGCAGCCAGTGCTCTTAACCACTGAGCCTAGTCTCTCTATTCAACTCTTAGACAATGACTATGAATTAATTTGATTTAAAATAAAATTTAAATTAAAAAAATCAATATGGGGATCTGCAAGATAGCTCAGTAGGTAAGGATGCCTGCCATCAGGCCTGACAACCTGAATTTGATCCTTAGAAACCTACATAGTGGAAGAAGAGAACTGATTCCCACAAGTTGTCTTCTAACCTCCACACATAGGCTGTGGCATACACATATACAAATAAATAAATAAATAAATAAACAAACAAATAAACAAATATTTTAGGACCAGGCATGGTGATGAATGCCTTTAATTCCAGCACTCTGGAGGCAAAGATAGGCAAATCTCTGTGAGTTCAAGGTCAGCCTGGTCTACATAGCAAGGTCCAGGCCAACTGGGGCTACAGGGAGACCATCTCAAAATGACCAAAAATAAAACAAAGCAAAACATATATATATATATATATATGGACTGAAGAGATGGCGCAGCAGTTAAGAACACTGGCTGCTCTTCCAGAGGACCCAGGTTCAATTCTCAGGACCCACATGGTAGCTAACAACCATCTTTAACTCTAGTTCCAAGGGATCTGATGCCCTCTTCTGGCTTATTTGGGCATTGCACACACATGGTGCACTTACATACATGCAGACAAACACTCATATGCATAAAAAATAAAATATATTGTTCAAAAAAAGTTTAATATACTTATTTTATTATTTTATTTTCATTTTATTTATAAGGGCCATTTCTCCAGCCCCTATATTAATTTCTTAATAGATAGATATGATCTTTGAGGAGGATTTATTCCTAACTTCCTAGAGAGGTAAAGTTCTAAAATAGAATGTCATTTTTTTCCATAAGCAACTAACAAGTAGAATGCTAGGGACATTAGTCATTTTTTGCCAAGAATCTGATGAATTCCTACTGTGTGCCAGCCACAGAAGCAAGTTCTTGAGACTCACTGTCCAGTGAGACAAGGTCCTTGAACTCAGGAGACCTACAGCCCAGAGAGGGAGACTGACAGCTCCATGCCTGCAGTGGGGTCTATTCAGTGAGGCCAGTGTGGGCAAATGCAGAGCAGGCCAGGCAGCACTGAGGCAGTCTGGGAGACTTCGTGCAGGAGTGCTGCCTGAGCTCGGCTTTGGTGGTCATGAAAGAGTTAGCCAGATGACAAAGTGGCTAAAGCATGTTGAAGAACAAGAAGGAACGATGAATCAGTTCATCTCTTTCTCTAACACTCTTAAAGGAAGGTCAAAAAGAATGCATTTTTAAGCTCCTCATAATCTATGGCATAAATCAGCAGGGCATGAACCCTGCTGTTATGATATAGTGTTGGGACTATTTCCTTGGTCAAAGGAAACATGGATTGATAGAAGTTTCCTCATATTAAGTTTACCTCTTGAGTCATCTTAAAAATAGTTAAAGCTGGGCTGGAGATGTAGTTCAGCTGGACAGTGTGCCGTGCATGCACAAAGCCCTGGGTTGGACCCCCAGGACTGCATAAGCAGGGCATGGTGACATTCACCTCTGATCCAAGCAAATACTGGAGGTGGAAGAAGGAAGGTCTGAAGTTCAGGGTCCTTCTTAGGGGCTTCAGCTTTCAGTTTCCAATCATGGCTGTGCCACTTAAAAGCCTCTCACCAGCAGGTTCTAGATTCTTCCCATGTCAAATGATAGCAATACCATACACCTCCTCTCCACAGAGCTGAGTGGGAAGAATGAAATGATGACAGGCCATGCAGCATTAGCCCTGGGCAAAACAAAACTTTGTTTGTTGAGACACTGTGAATGTAGCCCACATTGGCCTGGAACTCACCATGTAGCCCGGGGTGGCCTTGAACCTACAATCTTTCTGTCTCCGCCCCAAATAAAGCTTAAATGAATTTTAGCTATGCAAAACTGCTGTAAGAATAATAATTGTAAGTTGTAATTAAGGAAGAATATTAAGGTATAATTTCTAGTATGTTACTTGATTTTAAGATGCAGCAGGGCGTGGTGGCGCATGCCTTTAATCTCAGCACTCAGGAGGCACAGGCAGGCAGCTCTCTGTGAGTTTAAGGCTAGCATGGTCTACATACTGAGTTCCAGGCCAGCTGGGGCTACAGGGAGACCCTGTCTCAAAAAAAGACCCCCCCCCAAACGGCTCATACTTTAAGCCAGTGTGTACATGTATGTATATTTGTATATATGTTTGTGTGTGTGAGTGAGGGCACTAGGGAGCCATGGTACATGCATATGGAGGTCAGACAGAGGATAACCTCCAGTGTTGGTCCATGCCTTTTACTTTATTTGAGATACTCTGTTTGCTGGCTGGTGTGCTTGTAAGGCTAGCTGGTCCACAAGCTACCAAGGATTCTCCTGTGTCCTCCTGCCTTCCATCTCACCATATAGGAGCATTGGGAGTACAGATGCTGCTGGGTTCTGGGGATTCAAACTCAGGTCCTCATGCTTGTAAGGCAAGGGCTTTATCCACCAAGCTATCTCCCCAGTCCTTGTGCATATCATCCTTTTTTACATCTTATTTTTTCTCTGACTTATAGCATGCACAGCATAGAAATGCATGTACATGATTTTTTGAGCCCTCCAGTACTATAACCTAAAGAAATCTCTTCTTTTTTCTAAATTTTATTTATTTTATTTTATTATATATTTTAAAATATTTATCATTTTTTATTTTATGTGTATGAGTGTATTGCCTGCATGTATGTGAGTGCACCTGTGTCATGCAGTGCTGCGCAGATCAGAAGAGGGTGTCAGATTCCCCTGGAACTGGAGTTAGAATGGTTCATAGCTGCCATGTGGGTGCTGGGAATTGAACCTGGGTCTTCTGCAAGAGCAGTCAGTGCTCTTAACTGCTGAGCCATCTCTCTAGCCCTCTATTATTTTTATTTTATGTGTATGCGTGTGTTGCCTGCATGTAGGTAAGTGCACCCGTGTCGTGCATTGCCCACAGAAGTCAGAAGGGGCTGTCGGATCCCCTGGGACTGGAGTTGCAGACAGTTATTAGCTGCCGTGTGGGTGCTGGGATTCGAACCCAGGTCTTCTGCAAGAACAACCAGTGTTCTTAACCACTGAGCCATCTCTCCAGCCCCAGGAAATCTCTTCTTTATGAACACTCAGCCTTAGGTGTTTCAATAAGGTAACAAAAAAAAAAGGACTAATTCACCACAATTAAAGACCAAGGCACTTATTCTTATTAAAGTCTCCTACCTCATCTGCCTAAGTGCTGGGATTACAGGTCTCTGCCACCACTTTCTTCTTATAAATGGTTTCTTAATAAATAATGAGTTATTAAGGGCTAGTTTCAGAAATTTTGTTTTCAAGGGACGATCTAGATGGGGATTCCTGATGGAGAGGCAAAGACAGATACCGAGTAGAAGCAAGAATTTGTGGGAGACTTTACAAATCTCCCAAATACAAACACTAAAATCTGCTACTGGGATGCTCAGGCTGCAAAGCTCAGGCTGACCAACCACCTTGCAGTGGTCCCCATGACAGAGAACAAGCAGCTTCAAGGAAATTGCCTCCTGGTTTGCCCAGAGAGACTCAGGCGACCATGTCCTGGAAGCAGCTCCCTGTCCCTGACCTCTTCTCACACAGTCCCGCCACCTGAGCCTTTGCCCTTTCTCCTGCTCTGCCCATCTAGCTGCTGTCCTTTCACATCCCCCTCCTGTCAGGAAATATTTCCAGGTTGTTCTAAACTGGTACCCAATGCCACTACTTCTCCATGGCTTTTGCGCCCATCTCCTCAGCATCTCCAGTACTGAGGGCATTTGATTTGTTGATGTATTCACTTCCTGCAGCAGTCATATGTCTACTGGGTTTGTGGGTACCCATGTGTGCCTACCTCAGGGAACTCAGGAGGATGCTCTAAACTACTGTTTGTGCTTGGAATACCATGGCTAATCCCTACCTTGAGAATGCTAGCTTGTGTATGAGGTCACCTGTGTACTGTGCTGTTTTGCCTGCTGATCAGCACAGGATAAACCATTGGTTAAACGGAGCCATCATTATCATGGGACAATGCAATACTATTATGGGTAATATTTTAAACAGTGAGTGGGAGTAAATGCAGGAATAAATGTAGTGAGCCAGCACAACGCTCCTGAGGCCGCCTCTCCCCAAACCTGGAGAGGCTGGTGCCGGGGAGGGGTGTGTGCTTTCTAGGTCTCTGTCTCAGGCTACACTTTCTTTTTCTTCCCATTGTTGGTCTGCCCCACCTGGAAGTAGAAATGGATCCAATTCTGTAGGGCTTCTCAGGCCCAGGGTATAGATCTCTGAAGGCTTTCGGAATGTGAGTGGAGATTGGAAAAGCTTCCATTTCTCTTCGTTGTCTAGCTCCTTCTTTTTCTTTCTGTGGGAGAAGCAAAATGGACATCAATAAAACCAATTCCAGGTTCAGTGTGATTTCTTCAGAGATTTCACTGACATCGTAGCCTATGGGAAAAAAAAGTTGAGCTGGCAAAGGTTGGCAACGGTAGTGGAAAGAGAGAGCCCAGCATGAGGCCACTGGTCCCGTTGCCTTCCAATAGTGAGGAGTAGCTTTGGTCCCAGGACTGGACAAGACCCTGAAGAAACAAGATCCAAGATGACCTCCCGACCTTAAGGACAAATTTATAACCCAGAGAGATAGACAAGAAGTCTAGAATGTGTTCTGTGGTATGTGACTGGAACACAGGGCACATGTGAATCCCCTGAGCAGTCAGTCATGGAAGATTTCTGGGAGGAGGAGGTGTCTAAGCTGGGTTTAAAGGTCAAGCCAAGAAACAGTTGGATAGTCAAGTCTGAGAGAACCAGACTGAGGTGCGGTTTTAGCATTCTTGGGATGATGTGACAATAGTGAGTAACAATGTCCCACTGACCCTCTGAGTCTGCAGCTCATGCTGAACTGCTATAATTTAGAAGTCATAGTCTTTTCTCAATTCAGAAAAATGTTTGAATCAGAAGGTTTAAGATAGGTTTAAATTCTGCAGCTGGCTCAGCGCTGGTTTCTTCATCTCTAAAATGGAGATTCTGCCACCACATAGAGACAGTCACAAAGCCACCATTCACTCTCCCTTTTTTCTAGCAATAGAGTCAGTCAATTTTGAAATGGAAATGGATTCAAAATAATTTTTAGCTACATTTCCCAAGATCCTTTGCAACAGTTACCATGTGACTAATATCTGATCTTTGAAATACAGTGGTAATATTGTATGGTATTTCCAAGGGAGTTCCTTTAGAAAAAAAGAAAGTAATAGGGATCATTTGTAAACAGATGTGACAGATCTTTATGGATGAGGCAAAAGTTCTAACACTGGATTGTGGTCATTGAAGCCAAACTCTAAAATTACAGATGTCATTCAAATTATCAAAATTGTCAAATTGCAATGATTTTTCAGAAATCATTGAACTGTACTCTAAAGTGGTAAGCAACACCCCAACAATATCACAAAATAATAATTTAAAATTAAAAAGAAGCCGGGCATGGTGGCACACACCTTTAATCCCAGCACTTGGGAGGCAGAGGCAGGCGGATCTCTGTGAGTTCAAGGCCAGCCTGGTCTACATAGTGAGTTCCAGGACAGCTGGGGCTACAGGGAGACCCTGTTTCAAAAAGACCAAAAAAAAAAAAATTAAAAAGTAATTTTATGGGGCTGGAGAGATGGCTTAGCAGTTAAGGGCACTGGCTGCTCATGTGGAGGACCTAGGTTCAGTTCCCAACATCCACATGGTGGTAAACAACCAGTTCCAGGGGATCTGACACCTTCTTCTGGCCTCTGCAGGCATTGCACAACACAGGTGTTACTTACATTTATGCAGGCAAAATATGCAGACACATAAAATAAAAATAATTTTAAAAATATTTTATTTATTATTTTTATTTTTATGTGTACAAGTGTATTGCCTGCATGTGTGTGAGTGCACCCGTGTTGTGCAATGCTGTGGAGGTCAGAAGAGGGCTTCGGATTCCCCTGGAACTGGAGTTAAGGACGGTTTGTAGCCGCCATGTGAGTGCTGGGAATTGAACCCGGGTCCTCTGCAAGAGCAGTCAGAGCTCTTAACCGCTGAGCTATCTCTCCAGCCCCAATAAAAATAATTTTTAAAAATATTGTTTAAGCCAGGCATGGTGGCACATGCCTTTAATCCCAGCACTTGGGAGGCAGAGGCAGGTGGATCTCTGTGAGTTCAAGGCCAGCCTGGTCTACATAGTGAGTTCCAGGACAGCTGGGGCTACAGGGAGACCCTGTCTCAAAAAGACCAAAAAAAAAAAAAAAAACTTTTAAATTTTTTTTAAAAAAGGTTTTAAAGGGAGAAAGTGTTACATTTATATTATTTATGACCAATGAGAATATAGTGCAAGCAACTGGGGTTTCTGGGAAGACTACTTAGAAAGAATAAGATTAGCCTTCTTGCAGCTGCTGGCCTGGAACAGGGACTGAATGTCTGGAGCTCCAGCAGCCATGCTGATGGGCTGTGAAGGACCCTGGAGGACCCTAAGGGACAAGTTGCTGGAGCCTACACTATCCACCTCGACTTTTATATATGAAAACCAACCTTTGGGCCACTGTTATTTTTCTGTCATACACATCTAAATATAATCTTAACTTATATTTGCCTCAAAAATTGTCACAAGAGGGGCTGGAGAGATGGCTCAGTGGATAAGACTACTAGCTGCTCTTGCAGAGGACCCAGGTTCAGTTCCCAGCACCCACATGGGGGCTAACCATTTGTAATTCCAGTTTCAGGGGGGATCTGATGCCCTCTTCTGACCTCTGTCTGTGGGCATTGCATGCATGTGGTACATGTACACATATGCAGGCAGAACTCTCATACACTAAATAAATAAATAAATAAATAAATAAATAAATAAATAAATAAATAATAAATAATTTAATAGTCATGAGACTTAAAGGTTTTATTTTATGCTATGGAGAAACTAAAAGAGGCCAGATGATAAGGTCAAAAGACAATTAAGGGATTTGGGTGGTTGTCTCACTGCCAAATGTAGGGGCCCCACCCCACTGTTTTCTTCCATTTCCAGAATGCAGTTAGCCAGGCATATAGCCCATAAAAGGCTGTTCCCTTCTAAAGAGCAGAACAGCTCTGAGAAAAGTGGCTGCTGGTGCTGAGGCTGCCTCAGGGAGGCTGACTTCCTTCCCTGTCACCAGAAGAGAAAGAGAAGCTACCAACTGAGGCGCGCTGGCTGCTGGTGCTGGCTCCCTTCTGGGCTTCTTGAAACTTCACCCTGAACTATGAAGACAGCCCAGAATCACTGGGAATATAGAGACAACCTCAAAGATGAAAGAGTAAAAAGTGAGCAAACGGAGACAAGCCAGAGAAAGACCCCCCCACCAAGGAAATGTAAGGTGCATGAAGTCGGAAGAATCTTAATAGGATGTGTGCGGTGTGTGTGTAGGATGTGTATATGTGCGTGTGCGTGCGTGTGCACGCGTGTGAATAACCTAAGAGATGGAAATATTGCACCCAGAAGAGGATGCTGCCTCATACTGTCTTCTTTTTCATCTGTTCCATCACTTGATTCCTTCTTAAACTTATTCTTTTGCATTTTGCCACATTTTCAACATACAACCATCAGTAAGTGCTTTTCTAACAGCACAAGGGATCATGCCCTTGGGAAGATGCTGCACAGAGACATCATAGCCACGGTGTTCCTGACTCTCACCCCCCTCTGGGGCTGTTGTGTAATCACACTACTCTTGCTTAGACCTTGTGTTTTTAGTTCTGTAAACTTCGGGTCTTTTGGTATGTATTTAAACCAAACTTCTTATGATGTAGGGATTCCAGCCGCTGCCTACTCCAGGGAGCTACAGTCTCCTCTCCACCAACAGGTAAACTAGAGAGAGAGTTCTATGGTCCCCCTAGGCAGGGCTATGTGTCTCATTGACATGGAAGAAGTTATAAAAGACTGGTCATCACTTCAATTCCTCCCTACAATTTCTGGGACCACAGATCTCAGGGGAGAAGTTGTAGCAGGAGGGTGAAGAGAGGCACCCACAAAGGCTGAGGACACTGGCAGCCCGGGGGGTTTGAATCTCAGAGCTGTCCCATCTCTAGCCCACTTCCATTCTCAGAAGAGGCCTTTTCCTTCCTGAATAAACTGACTCTGTCACTCTCTGTGTGTCCCTGGGCCAGTTCTTCATTCCAGGACAGAAGCTGGGAACCTCGAGTCACAGGCACAGCTGTAGCACCTTCCCCATGTGGTAAGAATTCTTACATCATTCACATTTGGACATTTTCCAAGGCTTTTGTTTTAACAAACCTTGTAAGAAACGCAGTTTCTTTGTGCGGGTTTCCTTTAGGTTTCTTGTCCACCAGCTCTTCAAACAGTAACGAGGGCGAGATGAACATGTGGTTGGCCTTTCTCTTTTCTGCATCTTTTTTATTGATATTACTCACCTCCCTGAAGGGAAAATGACAAACACATACATGTGGGAAGGACAAAAAAGTCAGTGTGATCTTTTCAGACAAATATTCACAACTACATTAGTCTGCTACAAGCAGTGGATACAAACAGCTGACCCACAGTGACATCAGACAACTGGGGACTTAAGAGTGGAAAAAGAGGTGTCCTTGCACTCAATGAGATAACCCGAAGTTCCAGAGAATATGGGGAGCCCACTATCTGAGAACAGGCTGAGGTATGTGTTGAGGTTCAGATAGCCCCGCCCCCTCACCAACAGGGCCTCACAAGCCCCTGAGAAAAGGAAACTGAGTCGATAAGCGCCCTGGTCTTTGAAGTCAAGAGAAGCAGACTTTTCTCCACTGTTTGGCCAACACAGCAGGCTTCCCCTTTGATCTCTAAAGAGGACAGGTTTTAACAGTCCCGCTCTCCCATTTTCCCCCCACCCAACTTAAAAAAAACATCTTCCCGTCTTCTGCAGGAAGCAGAAGCCTCCCGCCTTAAAAAGACTCCAGCTCATGACCCGGGGCAGACATTTTTCCCTGCCCGGAAGGGAATCTGTCCCATGTGTTCCTTTGCTAATAAACTCTATTCCGATGGAGTTTTATCTGTGTCCTGGTGCTTTCTCCTGATCAACCAGATTCATCCATAGGCTACTTTATCTATCAGATGGTGCCAAAACTCAGTTATTACTTCAAGGGACCCATCTGGACTTCTCCAACACCACTAATTTGGCTTTCAGGTACACTCCAACCCTTCTTTTCTCTCTCTCCTCCTCTCCCCAGCTCTCTGCTTTCACCTCTTTCTGGTTCTCCTCATTGGGGAACACACTCTGCCTTGCCTACATCTTTTGATCTCCTTTCCCATTGATTTCCAGCACTGGTCTCCATCTATCATTTTTTCCTGTCTTTGTCCTCTTCCACTGCCTTTCTTCCTCACTTTACTTGGGATGATTTCTGATACTGTTCAATCCAACACATGCAAATGCTCTGGATCCTTCTCTCTCTCCCCCTCCCATACTAAAGCTTTCTACTCCCTGCCATGTGCCTGCCAGGCCACCACATGTCTGACTTCCCATACAGGCTCTAAACCTTCATGACCCCAAAGCTTTTATTTTTCCTTCCTGCTATACACCCCCTCCAGGCAGCTGCCAAGATTGCCAGCTCGCCTGCCCTGGGGAATTTTTCTTTAACATTCTAATAAAGTGATAAAAGTTTACAGCTGGGCCCATTCTTAAATTCTCTTATAAATGTGGCTAAGAACCCTTTAGGGGACCTTTTCTCCCCATTTTGACCCAACTAGCCTGTACAGGCTGGGCAACTTTGCTGGAGCATTTAAAGAATTTCAGGCAGCTTGCCCTTCTGACAAACAAAAAACATTTTAAAAGCCTTTTTTTCTCCTAAACTTTTTCTCAGTCAGAGGGGCTTGAAATTTTGATCTTAGGCCCTCTTGGGCACCAACCAACAACTGGTGCTCAGGCACCTACTTTTCTAACTAGACCTAACCATTTTAAATTTCACTATACATAAAAGGTCACAGGCACTGCTCAGGTGAGTCATATGCTTTCAGACCAAAAACCACTGATTTATATGCCCTGCTCCTTCTGCTGCCCTCATGAGTTTCCTTTCCATCATAGCTTGTGTCTAGAAATTAAGAGCTCCTGAGAACTTGGTTTTGCATCCACAGCTACAATGGTTGGTGAGAAACATGGATTCCTTTGATTTGCTTTTCTATTAGGGAGACACACACACACACACATATATATAAACTGAGGGTACTTTCTTCTTTCATATCAAGCCTAATCTACCGGTACTGGGGTGCCTAGGATTCTCTTGTGATTTTTGTTTTTGTTTCTTGATGATGCCATAGAATAAACAATGCATTTCTAGTTCATACTAAGGGTATAATGCCAGATCTATACAATGGGAGTTTAAATTTTAACATCATTTAGGGCCTGTTTCTAAAGGGGATTACTTTGAGTTTTAACTTCTTCTATGGTATATTTACTGTTTTTTAAAGATGATTGTTTTAAGTTTTATAACTTCTTAGAGATTTAAAATAACATCATTTAGGGCACAGTGGTTAAGAGCACTGGCTGCGT